ACGCCTTCCTCCCCCCAACCTCCTGAAAAGCTGACTTACAGAAATACCCCTCCGCACCCCCTGCTACCAACTCCGAGCCCTGCGGTATGAATAGGCATCCCTCGTTGGCTCACTGCCAGTCCTCAGACTTTTTTACAGCCACAAAGAAGAGAGTATGTCAGAGCCAAGCAGAGAGGATGTGGCTTGTACAGCCAGGGGCTTAGCATCTAGCTTAGGGACTACACTCAGCTGAAACCTGCAACGTTTGTGTGTGGGTCTGTGTTGTCATCTAACTGTGTGTGGACGAGATGATGCCTTTCAGTCGCCATGTTTGTACGGTGGAGTCATTGGGGCATTCTAAGGATCTAAGGATACTGATTGCTTCCCCAGCTCACTTAAGGACAGAGATGTCAACACAGAGCCTTACAAAGAAAGATGCAAGTTTAGATCTTCTACTGAGGTTTTTAGCATCAGTCATCAAAGATGTAGTACAAATAAAACAATGTAAAAATGGAATTGTTTTGTCTTCTAAGGATGCAATATTGTACCAAAGAGAATCAGGGTTTTGTTCTGTGGAAAAACCTCTGAGGCTCCATATTGCCAAAAGTGACCTCTGCTTGCTTTGTGCCTTAGTTTTCACCGATTCTGCTCTGGGATTTTACGTTGCTTACCACTTCAAAGATGAGTTAGTATCATTCACAATCGCTTTCACCTTGTTATTATACCGCTAGCAGTTGGCTGTGAAATATTTAATCGCGAGGAAACAATCAATGAGTTTCTAAGATCGACCCAATTTTCACAAATGTTTGTAGAAGCGCTAGTTCCTGGATTTTACATACCTGTGGTCATGAAAGTCACTGAAATACCTAAATGTAATGAATCAGAGAGGCTATACTTTTGGGCAGATTAATCTTATTTTATTTTTAGCAACAGTCAAAATAAAAAGAAGGTTTTCTGCTTAAAAAGGATACTTTATAAGCCATGTCTACATAAAGAATACCTGCTGCTGCCGATGAGTTCTAGCAGTACTTTTCTCATAAAAAAAAAAGAAGAAAAAACTAGACTTAATGTTCACATCTACATGCTGTACTAAAATCTGCATCCAAGTCAGAGCTTGGATCTGGTAGCAAAGCTACACCAGAGCCGGGAGCATTTTATCTGCAAGTCAGAAAACAAAAGGACTAACTATGTTTTGTCATGGCTGATTGCTATTAACAATACAAACCAGTAATAATATGTTCATTTTAAGTGTTGAATTTACTAGGCGTAAAGATACAACCAATAAATCTGTCACTTTCACTATGTTTTATTTGTGCACAGCCATTTCGGAGTCTGAGCTCAGTAAAATATGAATTAGACATTTTACTGCCTTCCATCAGGTGCTGTTTTTGGTGGGTCGTTTGCTCGGATGGTTGATATTACATTGTGGTCTCTGCTTTTTTCACCTATGCTGAAAGCACACTGTATGTAATTGGAAATATTTCCCCTCCAGCTACACCGATATATCAGTTATGTATCATCTTTTTTTTTGCATAATAACAGCAAACATTTGGCACTCCCAAGCCATGCAACAAAGAAGCGCTAAGGCATTTGTTCAGAGCTAAAGGCCATCTGCATAGTTTACAGCTTGAACATATTTCATGTGTTGTTGGAATGAAACTCATTTTTTTCTCTCTCTGTCCTTTTTGCTGAAATAAAGCCATCGCCCCCCCACATGCCCATAAGTTGTCCTCCTATTTGTCAAAATGTGAATATTGGTGGCCATAAAGTTATTCATGCCTGCATGGCATATCACCTTTATTTGAGAAAGAAATGAAATCCCATTCTCAGGGACTCCCGGGAGAGGAATAATATGTTCTGCCTCTCTCCCATTCATTTCATCATATCTGCTGAATAAATTTGTACGAGAGGCCTTGTATATGCAATGCAGTTGAAGAGGTCAGTAAACCTGAAGTGGGTAAAACGTACATGCATTAAAGTCCTCTTTGGAATTTGCTCTGTTATAAATGAATTTTCTGGACGTCTCAGTTTAAAAAGAAATTGTTCAAAGGTGGATTTTGCAGTTTGAGGCATCCACCTTACTGTGTGTTTTTTTTTTTTTTTTACTTTTGTTGCCGTACTGAAGCAGGTTTCCTGTACCTTCGCTGCTCTGGAGGACATGCCTTTTTAAATTTTTGCCTGAAAGTGAAAAAGAAAAAAAAAAAAGCAGATTAAGAATCTGTGATGTCTCATAACAGCCCTTTAATCTCCACCGTTCCGTCATCTACCAGGAGGTACCCGGTCCCACTCTGACCTGCAAATTCTGCTACTGACCTAGCCACTCAGACTAAAGCACCTTTTCTTTCCTCCAACCCCCAAGAGTTTTAAAACAAGCGTCTGACTCCCATTCCTGTGGGAAAAGAAGTACTGCCTGTAAACACTTTGAAGGTCTCTTGGGACTAAGTGGATTTATTTCTATTCAGTTCAGTGTTTGTGAAAGGAACCAAGTGTCTCTCAGAGTGAATTCAGCTTCTGGTGGGAATTTCTGATTCTCCAAGTCATATACACATATCCATACTTTGGACGAATTGCTTCATATTGTTGCAGTCGACTGTCCAAAGTTGCTACATGCTCATTCAGATGAATGTGGCTGCTGCAAAGTCAGCTTGGTAGAAAACTTCTTACAAATATTAATAAGCTCAACATAACTGGAGTGTTTCATAACTGTAAACAAGTTGGAATGTACGAGTAAAACTTGTACAATCGAATTGATTGTATATTTTTGTATATCAGCTAGCTCTCTCTGCCTTTAGGCACAAATTTGTTGCGAATTAGGGTTATGTAAATAAACTGAATTAAATGAAATGCAGAAAGTAATCAAGTATAGACAAGATACTGACTGTTGATAAGTTAGCAGCTTTGAACCATTTTATAGCGCTATGCTAGATTTTTCAAACTAATAGGGTTCAAAGGTGATAAAATAACTCATCATAGCTTGGTAATATAATATTACATCCAATCTAATCAAAGTATTTCCCACATCTGGCTTATCACAATGTTACCTCATTCCAGCTTTTGTTGACCCTGATGTCATTTTAGTATAGGTTAGCATGTTGCTTTATTTTAGCTAACTCACGTTAGCTCAGCATTCAACAAACTCATAAGCAAATGTCAAGTAACTGAAAAAGACTTCTTACATTACATTGGAGATAAAGTTACTTTCAAACTGATCAGTCACACACTGGTTGAAATAAATCAATTACATTTACAAATAGCGAGGTAAATATTCATGTATTAATGCTAAAGTTTCACCCATGTTAACTTTTGTTGATCCGGTCATCTTTTCACAGATTAGTGTGACCGTTAAATCTTATTCTTTTCAGCCATTTGTCTTCGATTGCAGGTGACTTTAGTGTAACTGTAAGTAATCATCCAGTTAAAAATCAGAAATTCTGATTATAAAAAATCAGTATTCTGATTTTTAACTGGATGATGTTGCACAGTGATTCAGCTATGAACTTAATCAAGAAACTCTTGATGTGTATTTGCTTGATGATTTTGACAAAATACAGTGCTTACACACAATTAGCTAAAATCTGCACCCCTTGCAAAACACTTATAGCTGCCTATTTTAATAGCTGAAACACCAAATGCACCTTAATATACATTGATATGCATGGTGAAACTATCTTAGCATATACAATCTTTCATGTCTACTCTCTTGGAAGTTCTGCTATCAGCACTGAGGAAAACAAGTGGTTCTTTTGGACTGGCAGCCAGTAGCATGTTGGGTAGCATTCCGCCTAGATATTTCAGCTTCCAAAGCTGAATTTTCTTCAAATCCTTTAGCTATGAAAAGTTACATTTCACCAAAAATCTGCAACTAGGCAGTGCTCCATTGTACGCTAAGAATCTTCAGTCTTTAAGAGTCTTTGGATGTTTAGCATGCATCCCCACCAAAAAAAGTAATGTTCCCATTCCCAAGACTTGCCCTTTCACTCTTTTGTTGCATCAGTTTGTGTCACTACCAACTCCAGAAGGCATTTTCTAAGTAGACAGTTACTCCATTCATCATCTGTAGGACAGAATGTCTTTTCTTTACCACCACAAACTCATGAATCTGTGTACGTGTAACTTTTCTGGCTCTTATCATCAAGCTGCAGTCACCACCGAACTAAACCGTCAATTCAATCTCTCCACAGAACACGGCCAGACTGTTAAAGTGTGTGAAATTGTGGCAGTTCACAAGACAGAAGACGAAGCTGACGCACAAGCCAGGAGCCAGCCGAAGAGGATAAACCAGCCCTCTCAGCAGTATCCCCATGCATTCACAGGTGCAGCAGTTACACTACTCTACAAGTTCGGGAATAGTTTTAAAGTTTAAAGTTTTGGGGAAAATGAGAACTAGTACTACTTACATTGACATGGACTAATTTTCACAAAACTGTGATGCCACATTTTGCTGAAGCTTATCTTCAAAGGCATGTCCCATCCCTCAAAATTCTGGTTATGCAACAAATTCACAAAATACTTTTCAGACTCTCTCCGACATCCCTGCTGCACATACGAGCCGCGAGAAATGATTTGAACTGTGGCTCCTCCTTGAAAGGCCGACTCTTATCTGATGAGAGAAATATTCAGTGCGATGATTTGACATTGAAATGCTCAGTGAGTAAATCTGCTGCCAAAAGTGCTTAGTGAGGGAATTCCTGCTCCTTAATGTAAATATTTCAGTAATGCTTTTTTCTTCTTCTTCCTCGGTACAACCATGCCTCACTTTGCTGACTTCCTCCTCATTTCCCACCTCCCCACGTCTTCTTATCTCACTCATTCACTAAAATCTGTGGCAGACCAAGTTGATTGGGATACAGCTAAGGTTCATTTACAGGGCAAGGCTCCACTGCAGCAAAGCCTTGGAGTAATGATCAGTGAGAAAAAAATAAAAACACAAGAAAAACGTAACACTTAGTAAACTCCAGGTTGTGAGCCATGATAGGTACTTCCATTACAAATGTGCAAAAATCTTTGTTTATATTCTGCAAATGTTGAAAAAACACAATTGCTGTGTTTCCAATAAAGTAGAAGCAAATGAAAATCACATGTGAATAAGCTTGTTCATATGATAGGTCATTAAAATTAGTCATGAGATATATTCACAATTCATCCATCAGTCATCAGAGACATCTGCTTCTTATTCAGGCGTCGGAGCAACGAGCTTCTTATACTTGGGAGCAATTACATCTGCAGCGTTTTGCAGAAAATGTAGTTGGCAATTTTAAAGAGCTGTGGATTCAACACACAACTTTTTTATGAACTATGCAATGCCAAAATGGCTCTGGTGAAGCCAGCTGCACATTGTCTGAGAAAAAAACAACTACTTCCTGTCGTCTTCTTTGTCGTTTCCACCAGTAGTAACATCTGATTGTTCATCACGTGACTCGTGTGATGCGAAAAAACTGTTTCCATTGCAGTTTTCCGAAACACGCTCATTTCGATACGGCTGAGAAACCTCCTCCTTTTTCACGAATTTAGCTTAGCAATTTCAATTTGCACAACTTTATGTCGATGGCAGCGCAGCTAGCGATTCCAACACTAGAAAGCACTTTTAGGATATCGGAGGGGGATTTTTATTTTCATCTTTTACATTTTTTTCTCTCTGTAGAAACTGTTCTTGTTGTCTTTGCAGTTTCATACGTGAGGAGGACCCGGCAACACCTGTGGCGTTGCGCCGACGTCACCTTCCACTGCGCCGACCAGCAGATCTGCGAGCAGTGGGTCCAAGTCATCAACGAGCAGCTGTCATTACTTAGTAGGTGCTACTTAATACTGCAGATATGGGCGATGCACTCTGAACCGACTGGACGCTCAATATGCATCTGTGTGTCATAAATGAATCATGAATGATCCAAACTGACTGTTAAGCTGCTATCAGCACAGATAGGGGCAAATAAACTCAAGCAGAAGAATGTTAAGTAACAGGTTAAAGTGAAAAGCCCATTTCACACTCGGACAGCTGTTGATTAACCTGACAGAAACTGAGCAGGACGCCATCTGGGTTTTGTCCAAAATGTCTTGTGACAGAAATCCGGCTAGGTAACATTGACCTACCAATTAAACACTAATTGACACAGTGAACCACCTAAACTCACATTAGGGATGGGTGGGCGGCGACTTGATTTAGATTATGATCAGGAAAACACAACAGAGTCGTACAGTAAACAGTAGCGCAGTGCAAACCTTCGTTTGGATTGCTGCAGTATTTTCTTAATGTGCGTCTTAGAAGAACAAGTAAAGGTTTTGATTCAGTACACTTTGATGCAGTACCTAGAAAAGGTCGTCATACCCTTTCAGTATTTTTGTAATTTCTCATATTAAAACCACAAATAAACCCAATGTAAGGGATTTTATGTATCAGCACAAAATAGCGTGGGACTAAAGAAGAAAGATGGTTTTTACAATCAGATTACAGAGAATATCTAAACTGTGACTTCAATTTTCAAGTCTTGGATCTGATTCTTAGCTGGAATTAGATCTGAACTTTGACTAGACCACTCTAAGACTCTAAAAAGATGTTTTTTTTTTCTTGAAGTGACTAACTCCAGTCATAAAGGATAGTATTGCAGGTTTTAGATGCATCCTTGCCCCAACACAGCTGGTTTAATGGTTGAGTTGTTATCACCTCAACATGTCACTCAGCTTTTGCAAATGCCTGAGCGTGTACCATAAATTTTAATCTAGGGCATGGTTTAAAAATGCAGGACAATGAACCCTGACGACCAAGGTTTTTATTTTCTACTGCGCATTTCATTGTATATGCAGGCCAACAAATTTAATCTGGACTCATCTGATGATAACTCGTGCATTCCTTACAAGACTTGTGACGAACTGAAAAAATTTTGTAATTTTTTTCCTCCCCAACAATACAAAAGTATTGCTGTTCCAGCAGATTCAAATTCCACTTCCAATTGTTAATGTCTGTTGTAGTGATGTAAGGGGTACAAAGTCTTGAAGTACGTCAGTTATGATCATTCTGCCACTGGACAAACTGATATCCGTTCTTTATAAGCTCTAATAATTTTGTTATGCAACTCTCAGCTGTTCTGCACAAATGACGACAGCAGTAGAAGGTTTTAATGGTCCTCATTTATGAGTTCAAAGGTGACATTATTTCACAGCTGACAAAAAATAGCTGCTAGAGGTTTCAGCAAAATGAAAAACAGCAATGAACGGATTGTTCTATTTCACAAACTTTTTTTTTTTGTTGCATAATCTAAATTTAACTGAATTTCAACAATTTCCAGAAGGAACAGTGGTTGGAAGAAGCAGTGGGATGATTCAATGTGTTTAACTGAAACTTAAGTGAAACGTTAAATTACTTTATTACATTTATTTGGATTTCAAAAGTACAATTAGTAACACACTTTATGTTGATATCACACACTGATTTATTTCAGTATCTTATAGCTACTGCAAAAGCTGGTTTTTTTTAATGTGCCAAGAGGTTGTAGCAGGTTGTACAGTGAGTCAATATTGAAGGTTTAAAATGATCAGTGTCAACACTTAAGTCACACGGCTGGTTTGGTAGCAGGAACCTGAGTAAACAAGGAAGCAATTCAGGCTTTCGACTCAGGTGGGTTGGACTTGTGGCGCATCCAAAAACGAATCAATTTGTACAATTCTGTTTTGCGAGAACTTTGAATTCAAGAGTAACTCATTACATCTTGCTGTCCAAGCTTTCTATAAAATACTGGAACCCAAACTATACCAGGTAGGTGTAAATAAATGTTTAACGGGAAAGTAAAAAGTGGCCAATTGGTCACCTTGGAAGCTCACTTAAGCTGTTTTATTATAAATTGCTCTAAATATCTTTCCATAGACAAAGCATATTAACTTGTAGCATAAGAATATAATGTGTGACATTTCATTAAATCTATTAAATGCTAATATGTAATGTCTTTTTATGATGTATCACATTACATGTTATAATACTATTAGTAACGTAGCGAGCTATAACACTAATTGAGTATAAAATTATGTGACACACTCCAGGGCCAATACGTTTGAAAAATGATCCGGCTCCGTAGCATTCGGTGTCTCTCAAACATGTAGAATTAAGATCGGAAGGTGGGTGTAATTCATCTGAAGTGCCCCATACCCACAGATGAACCAATTCAATGAAATTAACCACATTCGTTGCGAAGATGAAGTCTGTACGTCTCTAACAGCGTCCGTCTCCTCCGCGGCTGCACCGTTACATCACTGCTGACAAGCCATTTATGTAACCTAATGGAATTTTTGTCTTATTGCCAAATGATATGAAGCCATGCTTTTTGTTTTTTTTTCCCTTTCTTTGTGCTCATTTAACACTTGATCCCATTCAGATCGCTTTTAGTTCGAGCCGGCACCTTATTTTTTCCAAAGCGGCCCCAAACAAGCCATTTTAACATTCTCCGGCCGGCGCGCCACTTTGGAACTTCATCACCAGATGATGCAGTGCCTGTAATTTGCCCTACACTCCTTCCACAGTTAGCCGACACCTCGTTTGTCTTTCAAACAGCCCATTCTGGTGATCATCTTTTAAAAAAAGGTCTCTAGTTAATGAAAGACCAATCAAGAGGCTGTCAAAAAAAAAAGTCAGATATTTCCAACCGCTATCCTTCACTTTGCAGCCAACCGACCCAAGAACCTGCTGGTGTACATCAATCCGTACGGAGGGAAGCGGCGCGGGGAGCGCATTTACGAGCAGAAGGTGGCTCCGGTGTTCCGGCAGGCCGGCATCTTTACAGACGTGATTGGTGGGTACCCGACAGTGGAGCGCCTCAACATTTAAATTAAAAATGAGACTCAAAGGCCACCGTATACATCTCCGCTGCCAGCGTAGCCTCTTGCGGGGTGGGGGCCAGGTGGCCTCACGAGGATATGATTTTTGCCTTATGGCGGCATTAATCCTGCCACCACCCTAATGGAACCTGTGATACCCGATAAGCTTGGGCATCCAAAGTCATCTATTATTCAATAAGTGTTTGCTACAGTGTATATTCTTGAGTATTGATGGCCCATCAGGGGGAAAACACCATTCACTCTGGGCTTCCTATAGCGGCTATGAGTCACATGATCTTTTTTTTTTTGTGCTGGGATTATATGCCTAGTAAACAGATTTACTGTTAAAATGATGGGGATTTATTTTTTTTTTCCTGCCTCGGGGCTCATTTTGTTAATACACCCCACAATAGCTGAATTAGGCTGTTTGTGCCACTGCGCCTGGCTTTTTTAATTTTTTTTTTTCTAAACATTAATCTGCTCAGTGGGCTTTAGCGAATGCATCCAAAGTGCAGCGTTTTTGTTTTATACTTCTTTTGTTTTTTTTGTTTTTTTGTTTTAAATGCCTGCTCCGCCACTTATTTCGTCTGTACATTTCTTTTATTGCACTTGCGCTAACGCCTGCTATTTAATTGGTTTCCACAGTTACAGAGCGCGCTAATCATGCCAGGGACCACTTGAAAATGGAGGCCAATCTAGACGATTATGATGGGTGAGTACTTCAGCGGGGTAGCTGCTGCTGCTGCTGCTGCTGCTGCTGCTGCCACTTTCAGGCTTTTGAAACACTGATTCTTGCCCGTGGCTTTTCTGTTGACTCTCATCTGCTCGTGTTTTAATAAAGTCACTGAGAGGCTCATTAAGTCTCTGTTGTTGGGTAATCTGCATCGAGATGAATGGTAATTTATATATATATATATATATATATATATATATATATATATATATATATATATATATATATATATAA